TGAGAGCCAGGAAGAAGTTATCTCCATTCAAACGCGCAGGGCTGATGCACATGTAAGTGTCCTTGCTGCTGAAAGACTGGCAGCATGGGCAGGTCCCAGTCCCTCAGAGAAGTTCTCCCTGGGAAAGCTGCGCTGTTCTGTGTGCATCATCCATGCTGACAGAAACACAGTGTGTGAGGCAGGTGAAGAGTGAGGTCCATAGAGTGTTTTGTCTTTGAGTTCATTGGTGGTAGAAACATGAAGTACCAAATCTTAGTTTTTTACCTGGTCTCTTAGAACAAATTCCCACGCATGCTACAGGAAGATAAAGACTGGATGACACTGCTGTTCATACTTCACAATTCTGGTCAGCCATAGATACAAAAACCTGTGTGATCTCTTTACTGAAATTGTTGCACTAAGAGTTGCTTTTGCTCCTAGTTACATAAACGGAAATACTGCTATTTAGCCGAAGAAGAAAAGAAACAAAATGTCTGGTGTATCTATTTTGATCACAAGTACTTATGTCCAAAAACCTGCCTTCTAATGGAGTATTTCAGGATATAAAGAAAGCATGTTCTCTTTACGATACGTATTTAGAGATGAAGAAGAATTAGTAGAAACAATAACCATACTCAGACTTGCAAATTTAATGCTCAAATAAGGACGGGAATGCATTGACATGTTTGTCTTTAAAAGTAATAATACATAATATTCACTTATGTAAGAGCCATCATCAATTACTATCAAAAGGAATATTATGTGTTACTTTTAAAGCAGTTTTCAGTGAAAACTGTGTTCCTTGCTCATTTGAACACTTTTGAAAATCTTTTCCTAAAGTTTGCCAGTTTCTGAGCCAGTAACAGAAAAAGGAATATAATATCTTGTGTTAGATAATACTCAAATGTAATTAGCATTTCAATTCTTAGCTGCTGTATAAATCGCTGGTAAATTTAAAAAACTGACATAGTAAATGCAGGTAAAAATACCTTAACTATAATATGGCAAAGGGGGATAATGTCATTGGCCTAATTTCTCAGAGTTTTTAAGAGGTGGGGGGAAGGAGAGAGGAGAAGGGACTGTGTGAAGTTTCTTCTAATGTATTCAAACGCTGTAGTTTCTGGATTGATGCCACTAAGCAGCTAAGAAAGGATTCCTGTGAACAGCCTTGTGGTAGGGAGTCAAAGATGACCATGTCTACAGTGATTCCTAGCTGGTATCAGAACATGACCATTCTGTTGTTCTGGGTCAGCAGTAAATACCTCACCAAATGGTGCAAAGTCAGCCAGTTCTTAATTTTTTATCTCCTCAAGAGTGCATTCAGTGACTTTATCACTGAGAAGAATGACTCCCCTGCCTAGTGTGATCAAGATCTGGAAATTTGCTGCATCAGCACATTTAGTCCAGTCTGCTGTTTGATTGGTGGGGCTTAGGTTTGATCTTATGGCATACATGTCAGCGCTCCAACTGGCTAGGTGAACAGCCTGTCCAGAGGGAAACTCAGTTTAACCCTTCTGAACCTGAAGGAAGAGAAGTCTCATAACTTGCCATGTCTTTTGTTTGGGGTCCCTGCATATAGCCAGCCCTCTGAAGGGGCAAGTGGGGTGGTGGAAGTTCCCTAGAGCCCAACTTGTGAGGCTCTTCCCTAGGAACAGCCCAGGGACACAAACCAGTCTAGGAAGACTTTGTAGGCACTGCATATTTGTCTTATGCAACACTTTCTGCTACAATGAAAGACTTGAAATGAAATTACAGGTTATGAATAGAAAAGCAGAGCATCAGATGTCAGCTCTTTTGATCACTTAAACGAGGTCCAAAGCATTTTATGGGATAATTTGGGTGCAGACATAGTTTGGGTGCTGTTTTTTAGTCATATTATCCCAAAACAATCCAATAAAATTACAATGGGAGAAAATAAGTTGCCTGTGAGCCTTTTGTGTCTTTTTTTTTTTTTTTGTCAGCCACTTGAAATTTTCTGGCCAGAATTCATATGTCTTTATGCTTGCTTCTTTCAGTTTGAGGAATTTGGATAGTCCTAGCTGTATCTTCCCTCATGGCTGAAGCCAGACTAAGAAACTAGCAAGGACTGTATATGGGCTTTGGCTCTTAAATGCTTGCTCTTATCACCTGTCTACTGCAGGTGAACGATAAAACTTTTCAGGGCTTTCCAGTAGCCGGTTTTAAGCATCCATTGTATGTGTATAGCAGATGAGGCACAGATGGGTTATACTTTACCTTTACAAGGCCCCTTGGAGGAAAAGATTCCTGAAAAATGGTACCCAAAGCAAATATGGACAGATCCAAAGCACGTGGTTGTGTTGTGGAATGTGATTAGCCAGTGGAGTGAACATCAGATCAAGCCCTTTATTGTGAGCACCAAATAGCATACCACTTATAAACATTATTAATTATGTTTCCAAATACCCAGCACACTATATTTAGAGTATGGACTTTAACTTAAACCTGCAAGAGCAGACTGTCAGTGTTCCCACGTAACCCTTCACATTCTGGCATTTTCCAGACTGCCAGCCAAATGAACACGTTAGGAGGAGGTGCATATATATGCCTGCAGCACCCAGCGGGTTAATCCACCCTACTGTGCATAGGTGTTGGAGCTCTTATGGTATGTAAGACTTGCCAAGTTTGGAGTTGTTTTGTATTTTTTTTTTTTTTTCCTGGACTATGCATTCACAGCAAGCATCTCTTCTTATGCTGCTCAGGTGTTTGTGAATGCATACCGAGATGGTGCTCTTATTTGTGTTTTATGTAACATACACATTTGTGCACATTTTATCACCTGGAAAAAGCTTTTATGGCTCATTTTAACACTTTTCTATTAAAACATTTGTTGTTGTTGTTGTTAATTAAACATTCAGCCATCTTTCATATTTTTTTTTAAATACATCTTAAAATAGACTACTGTGCATTTTGGTCTTCTGGCCTAACAAATGTCCGTTTTAATAACTGAAATTTTTAACTTAGTATCTCTCAGGACTAAGCATCTGTTCCATTTCTACTTCTAACTTTTTTTTTTGAAATTATGAAAATATCCCATGAATGTGTACTTACATGCAATATTTCAGCTGATGCTTTTTTAATAGTTAAATAACCCTGAAAAGAGAGGTTTCTAATGTGGACGGTACATGGATTCTTGCTGTATTAGTGAGCATCATTTTTAGGGATCTGGACAAACAGTTGTGTCCAACAGCATGTTGTTTAAGGGGAACTGCAAGACAGTCAAATACCTCACATTTTTTAAGTTTGTGGCAGCTCTAGGGAAAATTGAGATGCTCTGATGGCTATCTGTCTTTGAAAAAACCCACTAATTTTTATTCTTAAAGAAACTACATTAATGATTTAATGAAGAAGAGTACAGGTTTTAGCCATCATCTACTGTAAGTTGTCCATATTCTGCTATATATAAACAACTGCAAAATGCTAAAGGTTAAATACTGATAAGATGATACTATTGAACTTAATTACTTCAGCTGCAGGTAGAATTTTACTTGAACTCGTCTATTTTGCCCACATTTTATATTATTCTAATGACTAAAATAACAGGAGAGCAAATAACAAATGGTACTTAAAATAAAATACAGCTTTTTGATGTATGCTAACTTCGGTACAGTTGATTGAGGAAACTGAGAACATCCCACTTACTCAAACAAGGATAAAGAATCCCCCCAAAGAAATTATCTCTTAAAGAAAATGTGCTTTAGAGAAAAAAAAAAAAAAGTGATTTATTTTTTTTTTCGTCTCCTGATTTTTTTAATGACTTGTTACTGTTGTCTCAGCTGTAGCCAAAGTCTGCAGCTGGTATTCTTAACAGAATTACTATGAGGATGCTAAAACTACTTCTCTAAAATATATATAAAATAGCAATTTTAAAAGTATTTCATTTAGCAGCACAAGGACATTTTGTGTGACAGTGTTCAATAAGATAAAAATTTTAAACAGAATAACAGCTGTTTACATTCACACTGCAAAATAATTATCAAAGCAGACAAAATGCTTAAACCTAATTTAATAATGATTTCCTTCAACCTAGGTGCCAAACCCTGGGAGTAAACTTCCCAACTTGTGCTGAGGTGGGGAGGGAGATCTGAAGTTAAAAAAGCATAGAAACAAGTGCAGTGAACACTTTTCTGGGTGAGGTACTGAGTGAATTTCACTTTTAAAAAGAAAAGCATCATAAATCAGCATAAACCACAAGTTTTAATGATTATGTCTCCTCTGGAATTGTGCAGTGCTTGCAGTTCTGTGTGAACAAGACAAGGATCTGGTCTTACACTTCTTACTCAGGCAAAACTGCCACTGACATTAACGATAATTTTGCTTGAATAGAACAAAGTGCTTGGTGGTGGTTGTGCCAGCATGAGGGGTGCGAGATTAGTGCAGACGTGCAAAAAAGTACAGCTTCAAATGGCTGTACCTTTGACTTCTTGAGCTAGCATTTCCTCCAACTACAAGGATCTTAATTATAACATTTGCTGGTTCAAAGATTAACATTTAGCATTCTGGGAAAGACTTTCTGGACTCTAGTAACCTGATCAGTATGGTTTCCTTTTGGTCTCTGCCTCTTTCTGGTTCTTTGTATTGCAGAGGAGATGATAGTATCTGGCACATTCCTTGGATGACTTGAAGATAGCAGCCTTCTGTGTTTGGGGCTGAAAGATTGTGAACTCTGTGTTAGCAGAAATGCCACACAGGGGAGGTGAATAGAACATTAAAACAGCTTTAGCTTTAGGTACTGCAGTGCAAGCAGAGTTGAATTTGAGAGCTGGGACTTAAGTGGACATTTGTCCCTGCTTTCTTCCTTAATAAAATCTGAGTGTTAACTGTGGATAAGGGCATTTGAGAGATCACTAAAAATGAATCATTGAGTGCCCAGAAGAGCTTTATTATGATATACTATGGAGAACTTTAGAATATACCATGTACTTTTTACGTGCTTATTGAATGCATGTATGAGTTACTATTACAGAAGTAAATTGTTTTGTCCTTTCCTGCAGAAGCAAAATAATTTGCCAAATTAAAATGTCAAAATAAAACTCATCAAAAACTGGATCTGTGTGGTCCTTTCTGGCCCTGTGTTCCCATCTAATTTTCTTTTGCCCCTTGAAAGGCTATTCAGCAAAAAAGCACAAGCTCCTACCAGCAATGATTGTTATGCCTGTGTGCGTGTGTAATCCATTCTGAAAAACCCTTACACAAATAGTAAATCTGGAAAAATCTCAGTGCAGGAGTCCTGACTGGCTAAACTGAGTGAAAAAAAAAAAAAACCCAAAACCTAAATTTTAAAAATCCCCAGGCTGATATCAGGTTCCAGGACTGGGTCCTTGTAGGTAAAGTCAAAAGAGGTTTCTTAGTTCAGTTTATTTGCCCCAGTAGCATTTAGATTGAAGGAATTATTCTGCTCCTGAAATTCTGCATAGAAGTTGCCACTGCCCAGTTAACCAGTGTGAAAATACCATGGAAAATAAATTATTAAACTATACTGTTATTACTAACTTGCCAGCTCCAGAGAAACAAATGCAGCCACATTTACATATGTGTCCATCTGTCTGTTTTTACACTTTATGTCTTCAGCCAGTGGGTGAAATTGTTTTAATCCAAGCTGCAGTCTGATTTTTTTTCTTCCTCTTTTTTTTTTTTTCCTGCTGATATTTTTCTCTGTGTGTATGTTATTTGTAGATGGACAGGCATATTATTGACAGTAGCTAGTTCTTAATTGTCCTTCTAAGTAACCTAATCTATCTGGCCACAGTAGTTTTAACTGGAGTAAGCAGCAGAGTTCTCCATGGATAATTTTTGTTAGTTAGCAGATTGTTGCCATCTCAATGTTGCTGAAATCCCTAATCTCAGGTCAACGTGAAGCTGCAGTGGTTACAATCCTGTTGCCTGATGCAGTGTGAATGGAAGTGCTTTCTGTCAGAAACATGTGGTCTCTTCAGTGGAGAGCCTGAGTAAATCCTGTGTAAATAGAGGGAGGCTAACAAAGGATGAGCCCCTGCAGCTCAGAGCATTTGGAGCCATTTGGAGGCTGAATTTGCTAAATGCTGCTTATACCGCCTGAAAAGTTGAAGAGAAAGGAGCATAAAATCCCTTCTTTTTTCTCTTTCTGCTCCTACCCTGGGGGGAGGGTGTTAAGGGCCAGGGAAGCCTGAGGTAAGCCTATGAAGATTGTTTTTTCAGTGCTCTTTTGAGTGTGAAAAAGGTGGCATGGGTCACTGTCCCCTCTTTAATGTCGGAAAACCCACACAGTTAGTAAATGTTGCATGTAAACTAAAGCATTTCATCCCTTCTCCTGCACTCCACGGCAGTGGGCCATGAACTAGTCACTTGAAAATCGCAGAAAAATTTCACGTCAACATGTCCAGACAGTTTAGCACAGCAGGAACGTAAGAGAGATCAGCAATTAGCAGGTTGCTTCACTGTTCCCCTTGTCTGCATTGGAACACTTTTTTCACCTGATGTGAAAAAATGCTGGATCACAGCGAACAAGCCACGAACCTCCTGGCTGTATAGAAGAGCTTAAAATTTAAACCACCGTTTATTAGTTCTCTCTTTAAAAACTAGGAAAATACGTTGTTGGCTTTTGAACTTAATCGCTAAGAATTCTCGATTCACTTCACAAATAAACACGAGATTTAAACACAGACAATTAAAGGCACAAAAATCCAGGCTTTTTTTCTGGTGGGTTTTTTTGTTTGTTTGTTTTTTGGTGTGTTGGTTTTTTTTTTTTTAAACAGGAAAATAGTAAAAGGGGAAATGTGAAACATCGCAGTTCTGTAAATAGTTTTGGAAGATGTGAATCACCAATTTTATAGCATGTGTAGCTATAACAATAACGTAGCTGGAATGTCATACCCACCTTTGAGTAAATAATAAAATATTTGCAAATGCCTTTCTGAAAATAAGATAAATTAGTGATTATAGAAGGGTGCCTATCCAGAAATAGAAAAGGATCAGTTTTTATTCTGTCACTTGTAAATACACTTTAGATACCAGATACCATGCAACTCTTCAAGCCTCTAGCACATATTGCCAGATGGCAATAGGGACTTGCTCCTGACTGGCAAACTATGCTAAAATGTGATTAGATCAAGTAGAACAGATTTTTAGGTGAAGTGTCTGATAGTGGCTTCAGTTCTCTTCCTTTTATTCCTATTTGAATTTACAGTAGTTATTAATGCTTGGACTGTGTGAAATTTGTACATCATCTTCACAGTAACAGCCCAATGGAACTGCTGGATTACATTCTGGAAAGTAAAAGACCTTGCAAAAGAACAGCAGAGAGAGGGCTAGGTCTTCATCTCCTCCCTGCTGCAGAGGGCAAAAGAATATCATCCTATGTAGTAAGAGAGGTGGTAGTGCTATATGTCTGAAGTCTTCCTGAACCTTCTAGTGCACCAGTGTCCAACCTTACTTTCTCTCCAAGATGCTCACTGAAACATTATACGCCACCATGAGACACGCCTGGTGTTCCAGAGACACAAAAAGGGAGAGGCTGATTACAGTGGCTCACTTGAGGACACCCTATCCCAGGATGGGGCAAGTGATGACTGAGCATACAGGCTAACCTAGGATGCCTGGACAGCTTCTGATGGCTTCTTTCCTTCT